TTTTAAATATATTACAATGGAATAATGGAGCACTTTAGCTGCAGCTCAACTGCAGAAATGTGCGAGCATGCACGCTCATGCACGCTCATGTCCACACATGTATGTCCCTGCGCATATATACTTAACATTTGAAATGATCGAGTGCCTGGCTATTTTTTTCGAGCTCAGTCCTCAGGGGCTGGCACACATTTACAATTGCTGGCAGCGCAGTTCAATTGCAGCGCAGAGTTGAAAATATTAAATTAAATGAGCACAAAGTGGATTGAATGCGTAAAGTCGCCAATTAGATACCCTTTCATCTCTCTTATTAAAATGCATAAACTATGTAAGAGAAATAAAATGCGCGGAATTCGCATTCAGATTTTCTATGCCGGTTACAACAGGATGAATTTCATTTAACTAACTCATATATGGGGTATTCAGGCTCTAATCCAATATCGCATGCAGGCTGCCAAATTGGTTTAACTCTTTGGCCAGAGCAAGTGTTGCCGCAGCTGGTTGCATAAATTGCGGCTGTTTTTTTTTTTTTTTTTTTTTTTTTTTTTTTCTTTTATGGTTTGACACGCATTCGTCCTGTAGGCTAACACGGCTTTTTTTATTTATTTTTTTTTTTCTTGCATTTGCCACGTGCTCGCATGCAAATAGTCACATTCAATCGTACGTGCACTTCATGTTGAAACAGTTAACTCACTTAGCCAAGAGGCTGCCGATTCCCCGCCTCCCGCCTCCCACACTGCCGGCGGCTTAATCACGCCTCCATTCAGCCTAAAATTGCTTTAACTTTGCCCTTTAATTGGCTTTACTTAGAGCTTTTCGCTGGAAAAGTGTTGACTGAAAATCTGGATTGCACAAAACAAAAAAACAGCAAAAAGAGGAAATTTATGCTTGCCCCATTGCTGTTATAAGAAGCTATTAGCGTACTTTTCCCTGTCGCCGCAGACCTAAAAAAAAAAAAAAAACAGCAGAAGTGAAAGCAGAAAAAAGGCAAAACATGAGAACATAATTCATGAGCTCCGGCAAAATGTTGAATTGTAAATGATCAAGCGAGAGACAGAGGACGGCTGGAAAAAAAATGGGGAAGCAAAAGGCAACGCAAATGAGCAGACAAATATGACAGAGTGAGGGAGACAGGAAGAGAGTGAGAGAGAGTGAGAGAGAGAGAGGCGGAACAGAGCAAAGAAGCTTGGAGCCAAGTGATGGGCGGCCATAAAGAATTCTGTTGGATTTGTGTGTCATAACGGGGCTGGCTGTGCGAGTTGGGGCAAAAACTTTACAGTTCAGCCCCCTCCATGCAGCCCCAATAACTAATAACTAGTACCTCAACTTATATCGTGCTTATAAAATATCTTTATTGATTTTTCGCTCTATGCTTTGCTGAGAGTTTTACAGCGAGTTCCCAGCCCCGCAGCCTCATTGACTTTTGCCTTGGCTTGGTCTGGCTTGGCACTGGGCGTAAGATTGATTTATTTGCCATTGCGTTTCACAGAGGAGGGGGCAGGGGGTCTCAATTTTTTTTTAAAACATTATTCATAGCTTTTTCCATGCGGTTGCGGCTTTGCTGTAATTTATTTCTGAAGCAGCTCCAAATAAATTGACCGAAATTTGTTAGCATTTAAAAATGATTTGCATGCCAGCCAGGCCGCCCCCTGCGAATGACCCTGCCACCCACAAGCCCAGCCGATTGGCTCCCCGTTCGACTGCACCATTGGCCATTGAGTCTTGGTTGGGTCAAAAGGAAAACTAAGACTTTCGGCCACACTTAAGCAGTGTAATGTGCGTGAGCAGCTACGTTACGTATACGCCATGCAGTCCGTCTATAAATTATGGCTATAAAAATAAAATCAACAGCGGCTTGCTTTGGTTCTTGGGCAGCTTTACATTGTTTTCATTTCGCTTTCCATTGCTTTATTTATTTTGTTGGACGCATTTTACTTATGAGCTTTATTTTATTTTTGTCTTTATTTTTATTTTTATTTATTTGTTTTCTTTTTTTTTTTCGCTTGGTTGTGGGAAAACTTTTCACTTTCCTTTTTAGCTAGGGACATTATTTCTGTGCTTTCATTTCCGTCCGTTTTTGGTTTTATTGCAGTTTTCAGCTGTCGCAGTGGCTGTCTCTCGAATCCTTGCGCCCTGCTCCGGCTGCTGTTCCACTTTCCGATGCCATTCGCGCATTTTGCCTGTTCGTTTTTTTTTTTTTCCCCGCCGAAATAAATATAAAAAATTCGCTTCCAGTTCCGTCTGCCATTTTCACGAATTTTCCTTCTGCAGCATAGAAAGAATTTTGTGACGCTGCCTTTTGCTACTTTGGCTTTTGTCGGCGCACTTTATCCATTCGCATTCGCGCGCAATTTTCCCACGGCTCTCTCGCTCAAAAAAAAAAAAAAAAAAAAAAAAAAAAAAAAAAAAAAGGAAAAGAGCAGAAAACAAAAACAAAACAATGAAATGAAATATTATAGCTGTCAACCCGCTACGCCGCTACCTCCGCCCGCTGCTGCTGCCTCCTGCTTTGTCAGTGTAAATGTGTTTTTGCCATCAATTTTTATTGCAAGCAGAGTGTATCAATAAATTTTACAGCAATGTGCGGATTTAAAAGCAAAACTGCATTGGCTTTCCGCTCCTCTACTCCCCTTCTCACTCTCTCTCTCTCCTCTCTCCACTCAGCACTCCCCAATCCCACCCGCACACACACAAGCTCTCTAGCCCGACCTCCTGTCAGCACCTTATGTGGCCATTGCGTTGCTTTATGACATTCGAAGTTGGGCATAAAATGCTCTCTCGAATTGCGGCTAAATTTGCCTTCAATGATGCCGACTCGGGCTGTGATTGTCATTTGGGTCTTTAAGAGGTTTACCGTATGCACCAATTAGTCGTAATTGGCCAATAAAAATGTATCTATCAACGATGAAAGGCGGCTTAGGCATTCCATGCAACATATATATTTATTCGAGTGAATTTTTATACAAAGCCTGTCAATAGGCGAAAAGGTTTAATAATTGGCTTCAGAAATTCCAGCAAAATATTTTACTGTTGATATTGTAAAGCGGTTTTCCAAAATAGTTTGACTGGAATTCCATCGTAATTAAAGCGTTTTATAGTGCCTAGACCAGCATATTCACCCACATAGATGTATATTGATTTTTCTTCAAAATTTGCCAGTCGCATTTAATATGTGTTGTCAGTGTTGGAAAAGGTCATAAAATAGCCATCATGTCTCAGCTTATCTGCTGAATTTATAGCACATGGGCAAAACAAAGCGATCATAAACAAAATCAATATGCTTTATATCAAAATTAATGGAGCTGCAATTTCACAAGTAGCACACACACACCCACACACACTGACACATATATGAACAGCAGCTGGGAAAAGTGTTGACAGCTGCTTTTATTCACCTGTCAGACACAGAAGCCGCTAAACTGTTGATAAGAGGAGGACTGAAGACAGAGCCGGCAGCTGGGCGTCAGAGCGTTCGGACCAGCTCCGGCAGCTATGCATCCGGGTATCCCCCATTTGACGGGAATCTGGGAAAATGTTGGGTGTTGCGGCTGTCGTGGCAATCAACAGGGGACCAGACACAAGCGCTGTGACAGCCCAGCCAATAAAATTCCCTCACAATCATTTATCAATAACTTTCAGAGCTGAGCGATAGAATTTACCCAGCGCCCAGTCCCCCCTGGCGAGCCCCAGGGCCGGCCAGCTAAAGTTCGAGCTGGACACAGCATTACATGATAACGTGCAAAAAGAATGGAAATATGAAACAATCATGTATAAGTGCTGCAGAAAATATTCCAAGTGCTTGCTCCGAGGACGGAAAACAAAAGGAAAAACATTAACATGAAGCCACAGCTCAACGATGTCCGGACATCGCTGGACTCTGTCAGGCTCTGTGTAAATGTCACAAAGTTCGAGCGATTATAAATGACGTCGGATGTCGCTTGACAGTGAAATATATATTTTTTGAAAAGCAGCAGCTGATAAAACGAATTGACACGAAATGCGACTGAGCTAGATAGAGCCAAGCCATGAAGTTGCTAACATGAAGTTTATATAACTTATATAGCATACGATTCTCTATCTCATTGCAATATTCACTTTATTTAAACATTTAATACAAAGTATGAAATTTTGCTTTTTTTTTTTGTATCCCTGTAGAATCATGTGCTTTCCAAATATAGCGGCTCTACAAATTGAAAAACTGGCCAAAATGAAAATTCTGTGGCGGACAGAAAAAAATAAAAGTCTGTCAAGATTTTAATTAATTTTTATCTGCGCTGCTGCTATCTGGCTTTTGCCTTCTGACGGCTTTTTAGCATAAAGTGAAGTGAAAATGTAATTCAATTTTGGCGAGCGACGCTCCAGAGGTGGGCCCAGGGGAAGGTGGGCGGGCTGAGCGCCAGTGATGGAGCAGAGCAGTGCTGGGCAGGAGGAG